CCCAGTGTATTTCTACACATTGCATGTTTTCATTTCATTGTAACTCTGAGTGCTTAGTTTTTGGTGTGTGTGTGTAGAAATAAACAGAAACAAGAAATAGTTCTAATCTAGATCTTTGTTTTCCACAGAGAAAGTGAGATGATCTTGAGTGCTTTCAAGTTACTGGCTTTCTCTATCTCTCTCTCTCTTTCTCTCTCACTAATCTGCTAGTAGAAACTAATGCATTTTAAAATAGAAATCAAACAAATAAACAATAAGCAGATAATTCAAGTTTAGTTAACAATGGAATTTAACTCTCCTGACAGTAAGTATTGTCAGATGTTCACAGTGAAAACCACAGTGTTTATTTTATATAAAAATACTAACCTTGAAACTCATTATGGAGGACTTGTAGCTTTAAAGCAATAAAAGGACATTTCTTCTCATCTACTTTAACTCCTGTCTTCATCTTTTTCTGCATTCATTGGATTGACTGAGAATTGCTTCTCTGTGTTTTATATTATTAAAAGTATAGTACTTAGCATATGTCGTGGAAAACAAAAAGAGCTATCACTTTTTCTGGTGAGAAAAAATGATAATTTAACCTCCAGTTGCCTGGCCATTGTATATAACCCTGGTTATTGTAGAGATGAGGTATCTAAGAGGGACTCCACTGAAGCAATCATTTATTTTGTTCCATTACTAAATAAAACCTGGGAGTCAAATTTTGGGGTAAAAATTTGATAGATCCAAAGTACAACAGAGGAATTATCAGCTGACCCTGCCTATCCACACTTTAAGATCAAAAAGGCCCTCAAATCTTTCTAAGCCCCTCCCTATTTCTTTCTGTACTTTTCTATCCTAATCTGGGTGTGCCAAAAACTCTATAGATAATTCTGGCCAGCTGAATGTTGACTCCACCTTCTGATTCAAAGTTTAACTTTATTGGCAGTCTTGGGAGTGTCAGAGGGCGATCAAAATATTCCACAACACTCCACTTCCTCCAGTCTCTCTGTCACATACACATGATTTTTCAATTAACCAAAGAACAGGTACTGCAATGTAAAACCATTGATATTTTTTTTTTCATTGTGACATAAGCAACATGATAAGTGTAATATTACCCTGGATGAAGTAAGTGTGTGTGTGTGTGTGTGTGTGTGTGTGTGTGTGTGTAACCGTTCAGACACAAGGAAATCTGTCATAGGGTGTTAGCAGGAGACAAGAACTAGGTTTATAGGTAACTCTGACTACTTTTACTTTTTAAAAACTGTGCATTTAAAGCTATCTGAAAAATTAAAAAGGTATTTTAAAACATGTTTTTAAAGTGTTCCTATGCATTTTTCCCTTGGTAATATATTTCAAGTCTACTATTATACCAAGATTAGAAAATGTGATCTAGAAAACATGTGCTTCAATATAGGAGGGAGACAAGAAAATTCCAAGATGGTGTCTTCAACTCTGGTCTAACAGGTTAAGAGAATAACTAGTCAATAGTACAGTAGGAAAGGAGCTAGAGTGTTCTGGAAAGGTCAGTCCTAAGGTCTGGCCTGAGGTTGATTGTGGAGAATTGTATCAAGAGGGTGTTAAAGCAGGGCTGTATATACCTGTGATCTCAGCTCTAGGAAAGTACAGACATGAATGTGAGGCCAGTCGGAGTTACATGAGACCCTGTTGTAAAGAAGCAAGCAGCAGCAAAAGTGAGGCTGTTAGGGGAGGAAGAGGATTTTAAAAGGCCACATAAAGGTGGAGGGACAAATTTGTGCCCAGGAAGGATAGAAAGTTGATTAGGAAGTGCAATGTAATTAATTACAGTCTAGTATTTGCCTCAGTTGTGAATATTTAACCATAATAATTGTGTAACAAAAACTGACTGGCTTTTGCTCTTGGTTGAGGGATGGCATGTGGGAGCCCCTAATGCCTTATATTTTTGTTATTCTAGGTGGGCTTTTGATAGTTAAGGCTAATGAACTGTTCATGCTAGAAAGACTGTGATTAGAGGTTGAAGCTTTGAGCCTAGTGGTAATGACTTAACCTGATGATCCGCTGGTTTCTGGAGGAGAGTTAAGGGTTAGGATCCCTCCTGTGTATTTATAGTGAAACCTGAACTTGAGTGGAAGTCCTGATTGGGAAAGCTATGTGTGTACTGGAAAGACTGTCCTTGCTCTTGATTACTTAACTGGGGTGGGATGGAAGCTCTCCATGTGAGTCCTCTCTTGTCTTACGGCCCCTGCCTGCCCTTTAGTTGCTACTGGCTTGTATCCTCTGCAATAAAGTAAATTAGTAGGTCATCTGGGTTCTATGGATTTTGAATTATCCAAATCAAGGTGGTTGTGGAAAACCCCCAAATTATAGTCAGTTGATTAGGCTAGCCAGATACCTCTGAAATTGGTGTCTATCTGAATTGGGGGGTATTCTATCTGAAGTGGGGGTATTCTTGTCATCAAGGAGCATGCCTTCAACCTGAGAGAACTACTACCTCTCTTTTTCTTTTTACAGTGCAGGGGCTGGAACCCAGGCCTAATGTGTTAGTTTAGTGTTCTACCACTGAGCTACACACCCAGGTTTGTACAAATTTTTGGTTACTGTAGGGATGTATTTGCAGTGTTCCAGTAACATAAATGCTAATAATTATTGACAGAACATTGCAAAGTAACTTAATTAGGAGGATGGGGGAGAAGAAGGGTGGAGAAGTTTTCATCAGCCTTAAGTCAAGCACTAAAAACAGTTGGTCAGGAGATGACAGAAAGAGTCTAGAATGTGTATATAACTAGAAGGGGAAAATGTGGCATCAGTTGCTTCTCGGGGAGTGGGTTCATGGGGCACAGAGAAATAGGGTAAGGTAGTTCTGTTTTAGTTTAAACCTCTCAAAACTTGTGTTTCTTTGATATAACTAAAGTCCGTTTGAAAAAGGAAGGAGCCTTGTTGCATGCTGTCCGTAGTCCACCTCTGTCAGGCAGTTCATGAATGTTAACTTGTGTATGTGTGTGGTGGGGGTGTACTGGGAATGCTGTCAGTGATGGTGGTTGTAAGAAAAGTGAAGGAAACAGAATTGAACTGAGAGAGAAGTGAAGCAGCTGCAGAGGTTTAGCAGAGTCATAGATGCTACTTTGGTTCTTCAGATGCTGGAGGCAAGGAGCCCAAGCTTTGTGCCTGAGTATTTTAGAAATGTGTTGTTCAGAACACAAAAGTTGCTGTCTTTGGATGATGGCAGTTTTTAGAAGATAGTAGGTCATGAATTGTCAGCAGGTAGACTTGACAAGGGGATTACATGTACAACTCTGGAAGGGAAGAGCTGAATGTATTAATCAGCTTTCTGTTACTAGAACAATATACCTGATATGACCAGCTTATAAGGAGGGAAGGTGATTGGAGATATGGCTCATTGGTTAAGAGCACTTAATGCTTTTGCATAGTACCAGTGTTTGGTTCTCAGCACCCACAACGTTATGTAGAGGAATGTAGTCAGCAGTGACAAACTGAGGAAGAACCCATTACACTGGATGTTCAACAATAAATTGAGCTAGGGAGAAGGAAGAGATGGACCATTGCAGAAATTTGATGACTAATTTTGTTTTTTAATGTATTTAATTTTTGACATGAATTAACATGGATGTTTGGAACTAACTTTGAAACTGGAGCTAAGCAGATGAAAGCATCTCCCCACCCCTGACTCTCTCTCTCCTCCCCAGCCTGACAACCCTCAGTTCAATCCCTGAGAACCTTTGGAAAGAGAGAACTGGTTTCTGAAAGTTGTCCTCTGACCTCTTCCACACATGTACTATAGTATCATGTACAATCACACACACATACTCGTGTATACACACACACACACACACACGCATAAACACACAGATAAAATATTTTTAAATAAAAAATTTGTGGGAGGGAGGAGTTGTACAGATGAAGTAAAATTAATCTGAAGTTGATCATTGGTTCACTGAGCCATAGATATGTGAAGGTTTGTTACCTGTTTTTGTTTGTTTGTTTGTTTTTGTTTGTCTCATTTAGTTTTTATTCTAAAAAGATTTTAAAGCTTCTGGGAAAATAGTGGCTGATCAGGCACTTCATAAATGTACATTTCTTTGAGTTGCACAAGGAGAAGGATATCTTCTATGTTTTTCACTTAGTTATATTTATGTATCATACATATCACAGTTTATTTTGCTGCCGTTAATTATACATTGTCTATAGCTCAGTTTATTTAATCATTCTTCTTCAGATTAATATTAGGTCTTACTAGCATATACAACAAACACTAGTAAAGCTACCACAAGCATCTTTTTGGTAGACAAACATATCTTTAATACTAAACATATTGACAAATAGTTTTTTCAAAACAGTTGTGTCAGTCTGGTACTACTTGTAAAGTATGAGAGCTTCAGTTCTTTATATCTTCAACAACACCTGATATATTGGTCTTTTCAATTGGAGATGTTGTGATGGGCAGTTAATTCTAAATTTGAACATTGGTATCACTTATTTGTGTATTTATTTATTTCACAAGATATTTGAAGTGTTTATGTAATTTGTTCTATTATTAATTAAAAAGTTGGAGTCAGATATTGGGGTAAAAACAAAACCTGATAGGTGAAGAAAGTGCCAGAGGAACGACCTGCTGAACCCCTTCTTTCCACCTTCCTAGATCTTAAGGACCAGAGAATCTTTCTAAGCCCCTCGCTGCTTTCCTTTGTCTCTCTATCATATCATATTTTGGATTCTCTAGATTTTCTATGGCTAATTCTGGTCAGCTAGTTGTAGACTCTGCCCTTGATTCAAGGTTAACTTTATTAACAGTCTGGGAGTCTCACAATGCAATGAAATATCCCACAGCAGGAGTAGAACTGAGGGTCTCATGCATGAGAAGTCCTGTGTTCTACCACTAAGCTTCGCACCCAGCTCTGGATATTGCTCTTTCATATCAAATATTGTGCTAGTATTCTTGGGTATGCTGGTAGTTTTTAGCTGGACCACTTCCTTGTTGTAGTTCTGAAAACTAAACTATTCTTCTCTTTTCTCAGTTATTACAGGTGGCACTGATGGAATTGGAAAATCATATGCAGAAGAGGTAGGTGATTTTCAGAGTTTGTTTTAAAAATAAGAAAAAAACTAGAATAATCTCTTAAATAGTAGTTTTACTTAAAATTTTATTACATTTATTCTGTTTTATTTATTTGATTTTAGACAGTCTTTTTTTTTAACTAATTTTTTCATTTATTATACATACCAACCACAGTTTCCCATTCCCTCCTCCATTCCTCCATTCAGAAGGGGTAAGGACTCCTATGAGAATCAACAAAGCATGTCACATTCTGTTGAGGCAGGACCAAGCTCCTTCCCCTGCATCAAGGTTGAGTGAGGTACACCTGCATGGGGAATAGGTTCTAAAAAGTCACCTCATGTGCCTGGGACAGGTTCTGAACCCACTGCTAGGATCTCCACAAACAGACCAAGCTACACAACTGTCATCCTCATGCAGAGGGCCTAGGTTGGTTCCATGTGAGCTTCCATTAGCTCAGGTTAGCTGTTTAGACAGGATCTTGCTATGTATCCTTTGTGGGCCTAAAACACTATATGAACCAGCCTATCCTCAAACTCACAGATTCTCTGCCTTCTGGGTACATAATTTTAAAGATTTTAAGTGTGTGTGTGTGTGTGTGTGTGTGTGTGTGTGTTTATACCACACAGGAAGGCAGAAGAGGGCATTGAATCTCCTGGAGCTAGAGTTACAAGCAGTTGTGAGAAACCTGACATGGATACTGGGAACTGAATCTGGGCCCTCTACAAAAGCAGTACACTCGTAACTGTTGAGCCATCTATAACCCACATATATTTATTTGTGTATGTGTGTTTGTAGTTGCATGCACCCCTACAACATGCTTGTGAAAGTCAGAGGACAACTTTTAGAGGGAGATTTTTCTTCCATTCCAATATAAGGGTTCTGGGGACCAAACTTAAGTTATCAGGGTTGGTGGCAAAAGTACTTTTACTCATTGAACCATCTTGCTGGCTCCAGTCATAGTGTTAGGGAGGGGCTCTACTACTGAGATATACTCTCTTAGCTCCTTCTAAAAGTGACACTTTGAGAAATATGAGCCTATTGTTTTTGCAAACAGAACTGAATTTGTCTCTTCATGATTAGATTCAGGGTAAACATATTTAACAAAAATGGTAATAAAAGTGATATTAAACTTCCTAAACTTATCCTCTCAAGTGGCGCAACATACTGATGTGTTTTATTATTGATGGTGTTAAGGCAAACAATTCATTAAGATGTTGTTTATCACAATTCTTCACTATAAAAGTAATAGGGAATAAATACACGATACATTGGGACTTTCTACTGTATTTTCTAGCTAATTTTTAGCTCAGTGTTTTTCACACCCATTGATGATTTTTGCCTGAATTAGTTTACCATAATAGTTTAAATTGTGATTTTCTAAAATGTCTCTTCCTCTATAGCCTAAGCTAGTCTAGAATACATTATGTAGCTCATAGCTCAGGCTAACCTCAAGCTCAGGTCAGTCTTCCTCTAGAATTATAGCCATGACCCACCATGCCTGGTTGGTGTTTTCTATAAATAAGAGTTTTTTTTTTTTTTTTTTTTTTTTTACTTCCTCCTTTGTTAATATGTTTCCCTTTGTTCTTAAAGTATCAATATGGGCTAATGGATTTTTTTAGTAGTTTTGTAGCAGATTAATTTAGCAAATTACCAGGCCTTGTTATTTTTACAAAAAAAAAAAAAAAAAAAAAAATCTTCCACAGCCTCATTTGCAATATCACAGAATTACTTGCTACTTAATGAAAGCTGACTTTAGGATTTGTAACTGGGAATTAGTGTACTGAATCACTTATACTTCATATCCCCCAGAGTGTTGCCCGTTTATATACTGTCTGGCAGTTCAGCACAAAGTTTTATGCCCCCTGCTGTTCTTTCTCTACCTCTGATTTTCTGTGTTTATGATGGGAATACATCACTGTGAATGTTTTCACTCTGTGCAACATTGCAAAGGATTGTATATATATGTATGTTGAAGATTCTCTTCAATAAATTACTTATTAATTCATCCATTAACAACAATTAACATACTTTACCTTGGTTGCCCTTTAACTTTAATGCATGTGTTACTTATTCTGTGACAAAATACCTGACAAAGGCAACTTAAGGAAGGCTTAGTTTGGCTTCCAGTCATGGCTGCAAGGCCTCAAAGAGCTGATTATCTTTACCTCTACTGTCTATTGTATCTTTAGTCAAGAATTAGTGATACTTGTGCTCAGCTTTTTAACAGTGATCCCAAGGCCCCAGCCAATAGGATGGAACTGCCCATGGTTTGTGCAGGTCTTCTCAGTTGAATTTTTCCAGAGTCATTCCCAAAGACATACCTGTAAGTGTGCTTCTGTGGTGATTCTAAATGCAGTTGATAATGAAGATTAACCATTAAATCCCAAATACTCATTTTAAAGTTAATTGTATTTATAGGAGGAACTGCTAACACTTTAACTGTTGTTTTCCTTTTTGGCCCACTGATATTTGTCTTATGTATCTAGCCTATGACAACTTTTTAAATCCTAAATTTGAAATTATAGAAGTTATAGACATACAACAATGTTAAAAAGAAAGAAAGAAAGAAAGAAAGAAAGAAAGAAAGAAAGAAAGAAAGGAAGGAAGAAAGAAAGAAAGAAAGCCCACACCATGTATTAAGGACTAAAATAAAAAGTAGAAATCACCATCCTTCCAAAAATGGTTTGAGATTTCATTGCGTGGTTAGAAATGAAAGGTTCTGGGAGTCAGTGTTCATTTTTGATTACCAGCTCATGACTTACCACCTGGTGAGGTTTTCTTTAATGGGAATATATCTAATTTCTATTTTAGAATAAACTTCACAGATGTGATTCAGATCTCTTTTATTGTTTACAGTTAGCAAAGCGTGGAATGAAGATTGTCCTGATCAGCAGGTCCCAGGATAAACTGAACCAGGTTTCCAGCGAGATCAGTAAGTTTCCACATTTTAAACCCAGATTACCAAAGCAATACAACCAATCTGAGTAGTGTTTCAAGCAGCTGTCAAGTAGCACATTTTTTTTTAGTGTTAAGTAAATGCTGAAACTGACTTCCATATTGCTAATGGCATGTCTTAAAGTTTTAATATAAAATTTAAAAAAAAGGTTTTGAGACAATCTCATTATTTAGCTTTGAACTTGTTACATAGCATATTGGCTTTGCTTGGGGTTCTTCTATGTCAGCCTCCTGAATGCTATGATTATGGGCTTCTTTAACTTAGAAATTTTTATTACTCTTCCAAAAATGTTCATGAAATTATTTTAGAACTGTTGTGATTTGATTAATGATGCATTTAGTTCAAATAAGAGTTAAATTGTGACTTTTATCATGTTTTACTAAAATAAATTACTTATTTTTAAAATACCGTGGAATATTTTGGATTTCATTGCTTCTAAACACCTGATGCATGTGATTGAGATCCACTGGGACAGGAGCCAGCACTTGTGACTGGGAAACTGCTTCAGTCTTTTGTGTTAGTTAGCTATACTCAGTCTATACCTGAACCCTGACTGTGAGCTGATTTTACTAACTAATCAGATCAGTGCTGTTCATTTCCTTGGTAAAGCTGGGTGCTAACTGTCTTTAGTCGTCAAACTTTTAGATGTGATGATGCTTATTTGTTTATACTTGGTTCAGTCACATTGCTTACTGGCTAAGAATGAGTTGTGTTTGTCTCTGAACTTATGCTGGGTTCATATTCTGTAATGATGTATTATTGTAAAAGGGAGGGTTATTTCTTTAAAGACTATGTTGTTGGTTTGAAAAATTCTCACAGAAATTTCTTTGTAACTGGCATGACTAAGATGAAGTAAAATACACTGGAAAACTTGTAAGAAGCAAAAAGAAATTTGGTTTCTGGCTGTGTCATATGTGCTGCAGTTCTCTGTGCCTAAAAGAACTGATAGTGAAGCTCGACACAGCCAGTGGGCGAGAAAGGGCAAGAGCTTGTGTCAGAACAAGGCTATGAAGAGGAGTGGCAAATGAGCTCCATCTGTAGTTGGTTAAGTTCAGCTGGGTACAGTGCCTATTCATATCTTTGATTCCATAGCTTTAATGTCTTGTGAGAAAGCAACTGTGGGGCATTCCATTCAGATGAGAGGATTATTAACACCCACCGCCACTTTCAGCATCCCCTGGCATTTTGTTCACACCCTTCACCTGTGTCCTCTCCTTTGCTCACTCTTTTTGTGAGGTTCATGCTTTTGTCTTAGTGAGCAGATTGTACATTAGACTTTGTCTGTAGGTAAGAAAACAAGTCTAGTTTTGGTTTTAGTTCTGAGGATGGAACATGGGGCCACATGAAGGCCAAGTACAGTCACTAGTTATACCTTTGCCCCCAAAACCAATGTTAATTAGAGGTTCCTAATATTAAGTATGTGGAGTTCAAAAAATAAATCATTTTGAACCTTACTGTGAGCATAGACCTTAACAAATCGAACACTTGATGTGTAGAATTCAGTAGATTTTTGGCATTTTCATGTTTAAGATGTCTACTATACAAATGCAGTTCTGAAGGATCAAGACATGGACTGATTTGCAGTTTTTGCTGAAGTGTGAATTTGAATTAAGACAGGATACCAGTGATCCTGAGGTAGTCACAAGTGAGGGGAGGAATGTAATCTAGTGCTTGGGTCTTAATCCTGTCTTATTCTGAGTACTTAGTGGTTATGTGTTAATAACTCTCAGCCTGCTGGGAATACTTTGAGTCGTGTATATAGAAATTCAGTCTTAATGAAAGCAACTGCTAGTTGCTACAAATAAAGGTTCATAACCAGAAAATGGGAGCTTAGTTTATATGTAATGTTGAATCTTGAAATGCTGGTAGGAATGAATTCACAATTTCCTTGCTAGTAATGAAAGCTACCATGGGGCATTCTTAAGAGGTGTGCCAGCTTGTTGTAGAGTGGGTCTGGAAAGATAAGTTGATGATATTTGAGAATCTGGTTAACTTGCAATTTGAGGTGGCATGAATATTGGGCAAAACTTGATCCTGGTCAAATATATTCATAAAAGAAAAGATAGTCATTGAATTGACCTTTATTAAAAAGATTTTTTTTTTTTTTGGTTTTGTTCTTCTGATCAAAATTTATATTTAAGTAGAAGTTATAGCAGCAGACCATGTCCTAAGTTAATGAAATACACAGACATTACTGGAAATTTATAAATAAAGTTAAGTTTTTGAGATACAGCTTCGTATATTTCAAAATGACCTAGTATTCCATATATAATAAAGGATGGCTTAAGGATGATCCTCCGGTCACCATCTCCTGAATCCTAGGATTGCTGTTCACTCCCACACCCAGTTAAAGTGGTTCTAGGAATTGAACCCAGGGCTTAGTACATGCTAGGCAAATACTCTACATTCCTACTCCAGTGACAAGGTTTAATTGATGTGTAATATTCTTTTGGGGAGTATGATGTTATCTTGAATGTGGCCAGGACCTCGTATTGACAAAGACAAACTGTGTTTCTTTGGTTATACTTTGACTACCTCTTATTGAATTCCTGTGTACACGCTACCAAGATAAGGATTTGAAATACTGTGATGAACAAATAGTATGCAGCCCTTGCTCTCCTGCAACCTATATTCTGGTGAAAGAGATCATGAAAACAAATGATAAAAAAAAAAAAAAAATCTAAGTAAAAACCAGGCAGATAACTAAGTAGCTGTAATGTGTACAAAGTGCTACAAGGAAAAAAAAGGGCTAGTTAGGCATGGCTTGATTCCTCTGAGGGCTCAACTGAAGCAGGAGCAGGAAATGGTTGTGTGCTGTTAACTTTACAAGGTGCTGGTGCTTGTGCCCTGGAGCCCAGTACCATAGGCAAACTGTTCTAGCAGGCCCCCAATGGCACCCTAATCCAAAAGCCAAAAGAAAGGGGGGGGGGGAGGCTAGTAAGAAAACGACAGAAAAGTTACCTTGTATGGTGAGTTGGCAAGATACCTCATGCCTTGTACTAGCACTCCAGTAAATGACAGTGAAGTCTTGGTGATGGATGCATCCTCTGGGCCTTCCTGGGTATATAATGATAGCAGGATTATAAATACACAAGGTGCACATGATAAGTTAACTTCATCATTTTAATTTTCTTGAGGCTTCTTTTCCATGCATCTGTCTTATGCTATTAAATGCAGTCTGTCATAGCACCATGTTTCAGTCTGCCCACGGGGTTAACTGAGCCCCTTCCATATAGATATAAAATCATCAAATCCTAGTTCTTTGGTGAGTCATATAAAGAAGATTGGCCCATTCTGATTTTTTTAGTCTAATATAAAAATCCATTTTTATACATATTTCTCTTTCTGCTAATACAAAGTAGCAAATTTTACTTTTGTGTGTAAATTATTAGCATATGTCTCATCCTTTGCATGTTAAGGAATGCTGCATCTTAGTCTTCATTGTTCAAGGAGGTGAGGGTTGACTGAGGTGAATCATAAGATTTCTCTTGCCACTATGTTATGATAGGACCTTCAAACAGAGAAGCCTGATCTCAGAGGCCTGAAGAGGCCATTTGTGTTGACACTGACACTGGAGGCCCAGTTAGCCTCAGCTGAGATTCCCTACTCTTAAGAATCTAGCTTTCAGGCTAGAGAGATGGTTCAGCAGGTAAGAGTGCTGGCTGCTTTTCCAGAGGTCCAGAGTTTGATTCCCAGCCACCACAAAGGTGATTCACAACCATCTGATGCCCTAGTCTCTACATTCATTTTCACATGATTTAAAAAATTTGAAAAAGATCCTAAAAGGGGACAAGAACTTCAATAGTCCAAGAATATTATCAGCTGAAGCTGACAATGAATTAGAATGGGTAAAAAAGATAATACTAGAGACACATATAGACTGTGTAGATCCAAAACTCAACTGCATTCTGGTTATATTACCATCTGGGGGAATACCCTTCAGTAATTTTGATGCAGAGAGAAGATGCCATATTAGAATGGGTATTTCTACCATATAAACAGAATAAAAAATTAAGAACATATAGAAAAGATTTCTGATTTGATTTTTAAAGGAAAATTAAGAGTATGTGAACTAACAGGAATGGACCCAGCAGAAATTATAGTACCTTTAACTAATGAGGAAATTTCGTCGTTATGAAAAGATAATAAATATTGGCAAAGAGCTTGCAGTAACTTTTTGGGAACGATTAGCAACAGTTATCCCAAAGTGAGAGAATAAAATTCATTTGAATCCTTCCACAAATTGTAAGTAAAACACCAATCTCTGGAGTCCATACGTTCTACACTGATGCAAACAAATTAGGTAAGGCAATATATAAATAGGAAATATAAGTAAAGTTGTGCAAAGCCCTTATAACTCTGTACAAAATGCCTAGTTGTATGTCATCCTCATGGTGCTTATGCAGAGAGAGTCGTATTACACATTGAAACTGCTGAATTCATTACTGATAATACAGAAGTAACTTCGTTATTTATACAATTGCAAGAAATAGTCAGGAATAGGACTCATCCTATACACATAAAACACATATCATATCCCATACGGGTCTGCCAGGTCCTCTAGTACAAGGTAATAATGCAATTGATTTATTACTAGGAAGTATACTGGAGGCCTTGGAATTTCATAAAAAAACACCATGTGAATAGTAAAGGTTTAGAAAAGAATTTTTCCATCATTTGGCAACAAGATAAGGAAATAGTTTTTAAAAAGTTCTACTTTTTCCTTCTATAACCAAACTCCTTTACCAGCAGGTAGTAACTCTAAAGATATCATAGAAATGAAATTTGGCAAATGGATGTATTTCACTTTGCAGAATTTGGAAAATTAAAATATGTGCATCATACAATAGATTCATTTTCAGGATTACAATGAGCTCTGAAAGGGCTGATTCTGTGATCACACACCCATTAGAGGTAATAGCTATTATGAGTATACCTGTAGAAATAAAACCTGACAATGCTCCAGCTTATGTCTC